CTTAGCCCAGCATTAACCCGAGTCGTAATTCGGGTTAAAGGAGGGAGAGCGGGAGGAATGGTGCCTGCTTGGGGAGGCTGTTGACCCAGCGCCCCGGGCGGGTCCCATGCACCCCAAGTTAGGGTTCCTGCTGGGCAGGGTGGCAACAGTCCCCTGGGAGTGCAACGGTCCTTGCCCGGGAACCCCGCCATCCCGGTGCGGCTTGAATCTGTTCTTGGAAGCAGTGTCGACACCACTGTCTAGATAGCTTTTCCTCCTGGCAGCTCTGCCGCAGCCGCCTGTTGGAACGTGACTTGTTGACACGACGTGGCTCAATTTCACGCGCACGGTGGTTGGCTTTTAAGTTTTCCAGTCCTTGACTTAAAAAAAGTTATCAGTATACGCAAACAACTTAAATGATGAGGCACCATTAAAAAAAATGAAAGTCTGATGTGGGCTCCACTCCCTCCCTAAACTTCCTTCCCGCTCCGGAAGCATCTCCAGGGCAGCCGCAGTTTGCGGATTGGCTCAGACCCTCCCACGGGCTCCCATCCACTCACAAGTCCCTGGACATGGAAAGGGTTTCCTCGGATTACATGCAATTATAAATTTTTTGCGACTGGCTTTTTTTCAATGAAGGATGTCATAGATGGCTTTCTATGCCGCCTATTTTATTGCCATGTGGTGGCACTCCTTAGTTTGCAAGTACAGCACCTTCATTTTTGTTCATTTCCCTGCTGATGGGCACTCAGGCTGCTTCTGGGTTTTGCCTTACAGATGTGTTCCCAAGGGTGCATCTTTGGGTGCCTTGGCACTGCTGTGGGGTGGGTTCTCGGGGGTGGAACCGGGTTAAGGGCCAGCAGCTACTCCTCAGAAAGAGTGCCACTCCTGCCGGATGGATGTCTCCCCGCCCTCACTTGCTCTGGGTATTGTCATTTACATTTTTGGCAAGCTTCTGGTTAAGTGAGCTTCCCAAATGCAGATGTGTCAGTCACTCCACGGTAGCTCCCTGTGGCCCTTGAAAAAACACAAAAAAAGCCTGTGGTTGGTTTTGAGGTCAGAAGCAGCCAGTGTTTACTCTGAAGGCTCTCAGTCCTGGGCCCAGCCGGAGTCAGGTGGGGGGTGCTAGTTCAGGTTCCCTGGCTGGTGGTGCCGCAGCCGCCCTGCAGAGGGCGCTCCTGCGTCCTGGCTACATTGTAATCAGTCCCTGTTGTTGACACTAAGTTTCTGCTTCTCTCCCTTTTATGATAATAATTTCCTGCTCGTTGCTCATTGACTCATCAAACAGACGTTTAGATTGGATGCCTACCATGTGCCAAGCCTTAGCATCCGTGCATACGTAGCTTTCCCCCCTATTTTGGATACGTTTATACATGACAGGCTGTGGGGTGCTTTGAGTTCCAGGGCGTGATTTGGGGGCGGCGGTGTGTGCGGGGCATGGGGTGGTGCAGTGTGAGCAGCTGTCACTGCCATGTAGCTGGTGAGTCAAGGGGGTGGTCACCCCCGAGACAGAGGTTACGTAAGTGTTGCGCAGGCCACGCTGGGTGAGAGACACACTATCCTTCCCCGCCGGGCGTCCAGTATGGGCTGGATTTTCATTCCTCCGCTGGAGCGAAGCTTGCATAATTGTTCAAGGTCAGCCAGGGAGAGGCCGGGTAGGCAGGCTGGCAGGCTGTGGAGGGGAACCAGGGACTCCTGTCTCCTGATGTCACTTGCGGGCCCTTCTCAAAGTCACCGGTGACTGCAGGCAGGTCTGCTCGGCCTGGCCCTGCCGGCCCTGTTTCCCACTCACAGTGGAGGGACGCCCCCAGGCTGTGTCCTGGCCATCGCCCAGGCAGAGATCTGTGGTCCCCTGCCCCAGGCCGCCCTCTGATTTCCCCGCCGTGTCAGAGCGCCCTGCCTCCTGCTGGCCTCTGGAGGCTGGGCGTTGGAGGCCGGGGCTGGGTGCCGCAGGGACAGCTGTGCGCTGGTAACAACCGCACGGGGAGCCGTTTGGAGCAGGTCCGGGTGAAAGGAGGGGCCGGGGCCAGGGTTCACCCTTCGAGTCAGCGCCCTGGCTGGGTGCTAGGTGAGAAAGCAGGGCGCCAGCTTCTCTCTCCTCCAGTCCTGGCCGAGAAAACTAATGCTGATCATTTCTACTGTAAAATTGTCTCTGAAGTGGCTTCTGAGAGCTCTGTACAAATGGGCATTTTCGGGTGCTGCTTGTGGTTGTGAGGAAGTTGAGCTGCTCGGGGAGAGCCAGAGCTGTCGCAGGCCTTTCCTTGGTCCTGTCAGGTGGGGTCAGGTGGGAGCAGCAGGGCCTGGGCCGGGCTGCATGGAAACCACAAAAAGCCTCACAGCAGGTGAGGCCTTGAGTGAGGGGCTGAGTCATCCTGTCGCTGGCCTCCCTGGCGGAGTGGACTGGCTCCAGCCGGCTCCTGTGTGCCTTCGCCAGCTGCCATGCTGGGGGAAGGTTACCTGGGCCCCCAGAACAGGGGAGATCGAGCCGCGTGGTCTGTGTTCAAAGAGACGGGAGCGGAGTGCGGCACACAAGTGAGAAAGCCGGCGTCCAGGGTGGCTTAGACGAAGGCTGGCGCTTGAGGACATGTTTCAGTGAACCGGCAAGAGCACTTATGAGCAGCTGTGGGATTTCAGAGACGGGGGCCCACAGCCCCGCTAGAGCCCGACCTCATCTGCGCTCAGCCGACCCACCCCCTTGTCCTTGGAGAGTAATCTCCTTAGTGGCCTTGCGTTTCAGGCTGATGTTTGCTGTGGGTGGAGTGTTTTTTGACAGGTGGCTTTGCTTGCTGGGTTTTGGGGATTAGTGGGGAGAGAGCGCATTAAGGGGTGAGCGCTCTGTGTTTCCCCCGAGGGAGGGCCTCGTCCAGATGTGAAGGCGGTTGTGTCCGGGAGCCGGTCCCAGAGTGTCTGGTCCTAGAGCCAGGGGAGAGTCGCGGGGAAGGCTCTGGCACCTGGGGTCCAGGGAGGTCTCAGCCGGCCCAGAGATGTTGCCACTGGACTGTTTCCCCCCAGGCTGTCTGTGGCCCAGCACGGGAGAGGGGGCATGGGTCCATGGACGGCCTGGTAACCTTGGCTGGTGTGGAGAATGTTCTGGGCCCTTTGCTGATACACGCTGCAAGTCTGCTTGGGGCTACATTACCTTTCTTTTTTTTTGAGACGGGGTCTCACTGTGTTGCCCTGGCTAGAGTGCCGTGGCATCAACCTGGCTCACAGCAACCTCAAACTCCTGGGCTCAAGCGATCCTCCTGCCTCAGCCTCCCGAGTAGCTGGGACTACAGGCATGCGCCACCATGCCGGCTAAGTTTTCCTATGTATTTTAGTTGGCCAATTAATTTCTTTCCTATTTTTAGTAGAGACGGGGTCTCGCTCTTGCTCAGGCTGGTTTCTATCTCCTGACCTCGAGCAATCCGCCTGCCTCGGCCTCCCAGAGCTCTAGGATTACAGGCGTGAGCCACAGCGCCCGGCCGGGATTACCTTTCAATCCCAAATTGTTCCGTGTTGGTTCTGTCTACGCAGGGCCAGGCCTGCCCGTGGCTGAGACGTGTGCCATTAGGCATGGGGCATTTCCTGAGCACCTCCTGGCCTGTCCCTGGGGTGGATGTGCCTCCAGCGTTAGTCTGGGAGGAATGAATGAGGAAAGGGGCGTCCCTGGACTTGAAAAAGCCAGTGGGGGAAGCCCGGACCTAATGTGGGCTGCCCATGGTTCCCGCCTGATCGTGCCCAAGAAATAACAACGGCGACAAAAATAGGACAGTGAACAGCTCCCTGCTCTCCTCTGCTCTGACACAAAAGCGAGCCGGGACAAAGTTTACAAAGCATCCGGAGCGTAAAAGAGGACCTGAGCCGTAATTTCACAGTGTGAAGTTGTGGAAGTTCACAGCTGTTTCTTTTACAGCTGATCAGTGATGCTGGGAGCAGCTTGCACTGTCTGTGCAGTGAGAGCCTGGGTCAGGAGTTGCACGGGCGCTTGGGAAGCCGTCCCTGGGGCCTCCCGGACCACTTTTTAGTGGGCTCCTTACCCTCCCTGGGAGCGTGCCATTTGTGTGAGCGCACATGCGTGTGACTTCAGATGGGGCGTATGCAGATTCACTTGGATATTTTAGGCATACCATATTTTAAAAAATGAGCTGGGTGCGGAGGCTCACGCCTGTCATCCCAGCACCCTGGGAGGCCGAGGTGGGAGGCTCGCTCGAGATCAGAAGTTCGAGACCAGCCTCTACTAAAAACAAAAAAAGAAAAAAATTATCAGGACAACTAAAAATTATAAAAAACGAGCCGGGCGTGGTGGCGCATGCCTGTCGTCCCAGCTACTCGGGAGGGAGGCCGAGGCAGGAGGATCGCTGGAGGCTGCAGCGAGTGAGGCTGACGCCACGGCGCTCTAGCCCGGGCGACAGAGTGAGACTCTGTCTCAAAAAAAAAAAATTAGTGGACCCGTCTTCTGGTTAGTGTGCGCCAGTGATTCTGGGAGTGGCGGGAGGTGCAGGAGCTGGGGCTTTCTCCCGCGTGGGCCCCTCTCCTGGCAGAGCGTAGTGTGTGCTGTCCCGGATGAGGATCTTGATTCTGTGCGTGCGGCATGCACAGCACGCCAAGCAGAGCCCGCCAGGGAGGCAGTGTGGTTCTTAGGGCAAGGACTGTTGGAGTTATTCTCCCTCCTGGAACGCAGAGGTACTTACTGTTTGTCGTCTGACTCAGGAGCACCCAACAATCCCAAGGAGTGCTTTGATAGTTGGTTTCTAAAATAAAGCCGCACTGGAGTTCAACGGACGTTTATTTAAATTCATTTCCTTTGGAGGGTATGTTTGGATTTCTTTCCATGTGAGGAGTTGCCTAATGGGTTAGGTTTTGCTCTTGTCTCTGAGGAACATGACGCTCTAATAGTGGGCTCCCCTACAGTGCGAAAGTTGAGCCTGTTCTGGCACGTAGTAGGTTTTCCACAAATACTTGTCGAAGGAATGAAGAAATCAGAGCCATACAAGAAATGTGTTGCCATCAAGAACTCTGATTTCTATTCGGTACATTTAATGTCCTTGCAGCCGACATTTTGTAAGAAGATACGTTTTTGTTGGCAAGAATCCTGCAGTTCAGTGAAGTAGCTGGCTCCTGGGAATGTGGCTCTGACCGTTAATATTCATTCAGCAAATATTTACTGACCCCTACGGTGCTCTGGGCCTGTGCTCGGTCCTGGGCACGCCGAGGAGAAGAGGCCTAAAGTCAGGCTGATCCTCTGTCAACAAAGACTGGTTGGATGTCTCGAGCTCTGGCCACAAAGTGACAAGACAGCAGGGGTTTCTTGGCCCACACCCGGGAGGGTGAGCTGCCTAGAACCCAGAGCGCGAGGTGATTTTTATGGGTTGCTAATTGCATCTAATAATTTTATGGACGGGGAATTAATTTCCCTAATTACCAACGTATTTACTCCGGTGGTTGTTTTATTGCAGCAGAAGATGGCCGTGCCTCCCACGTACGCCGACCTGGGCAAGCCTGCCAGGGACGTCTTCACCAAGGGCTACGGTGAGTGTGGCGGGCGGGGCGGCCTCGGGGCGGGCTGGCGGGTCTGGGATTTCACCCAGGCCGGGTTTGGAGGCCTGGTCCGTGGGCTGTTCGGACCTTTCACGTCAGGAAAAAGAGAGACGCTCTCCGCATCTGGGGAAGCCGTTTGATGGTGCGCCGGAGGGGCGAGGCGCGGCCGGGCCCGCTGCCCGCACGCACACGCTCTCGCCTCCTCTCCCCAGCCTGCAGCTCGGCTTCTAAATTTAGCCCGTCCTCAGGCACGTGCCCGCGACGCCCAGGGACTGTGTGTGCCAGCTGTCGGGCCCTGCTGCTCGCGCCGGCTGGGAGCGCAGGTGGGCCCAGGTGGGGCCTGTGCCCTTCCTGTGGCCGCGCTCCAGGCAGCCGAGCGCCCGCCCGCCCGGGAAGCAGCGGCAGAGGCTGCGGCCCTCAGCCTCGTGGCCACAGCGTGCTTCCTTTTAAAACCAACAAAAAAGCATTTTGAAACAGCCGTAAGGGAAGCAGAGTTTCTGCTCTTGAGCTAGTTATTTACCCTATTAACAGTTGTCTCCTTCTTTCTTTAGGATTTGGCTTGATAAAACTTGATTTGAAAACAAAATCTGAGAATGGATTGGTAAGTGGTGCAGCCCGCATAGAACATGGGGACTTACTGTAAACTGTATGCAGATCAACAAATAATTGCCATGTCCTGGCTGGCAGGGCCAAAGGAAGGCACTTTGTTTTTTTTCTTGTTTTTTTTTTGACACATAGTCTCACTCTGTCGCCTGGGTTAGAGTGCCATGGCGTCAGCCTCGCTCACAGCGACCTCCAACTCCTGGGACTACAGGCATACGCCACCAGGCCCGGCTAATTTTTTAGTAGAGATGGGGTCTCGCCCTTGCTCAGGTTGGTCTCGAGCTCCTGAGCTCAAACGATCCTCCCGCCTCAGCCTCCCACAGCGCTGGGATTACAGGTGTGAGCCACCGCACCCAACCAAGGCACTGTTTTTGATTGTGACAGTTTGTGGCTGTCCTGTTCATTGCATCCTCTGCACGAGGGGTGGGTGGCCCAGGGGGACCACACAGCAGCCGGCCCCTAAGTTCAGCAGCTGTTAACATTCATTGGAAAATGGGGGCGGGTTTCAGTCTTAGTTTTCCTTGTCCTTCTTACTTTAGAATTAACCTATGTTCAACCACATAATTACTTAAGAAAAATTGTGGTAGTCCCTTTGAGATTGTGCATGCAGTAATTGTTGGAAGGAAGAAGTTTTGGGTTTGAATCACTGCTCTGTCAACTTTAGCTCAAATGCTTTTTCTCTGTACGAGGCTGAAGCCAGGATCGGGGGGTGGGGCTGCTTCCCTGTCCAGACTGCAGAGTGGCGGGGGAGGGAGGAAGCAGCTCCCTGACCTGACAGAAGATCCCTCATGGGGTTCCGCTAAGTAGCAGCCTCCCTGCCACCATCCGGACTTTAAATATCGGATTGACTTGTAGAACTAGCTTTTGCCCCGGCACGTGCAGGATCCCACCTCTCGCATAAGGAGGGCAGGTGGCAGCCTGTACAGGGTCAGAGTGAACCAGGTGCGGGCGGGGGAGCAGGCTGTGACTCCGTCTCTCTCCTCTGCAGGAGTTCACCAGCTCAGGCTCAGCCAACACCGAGACCACCAAAGTGACGGGCAGCCTGGAAACCAAGTACCGGTGGACCGAGTACGGCCTGACGTTCACGGAGAAGTGGAACACGGACAACACGCTGGGCACCGAGATCACCGTGGAGGACCAGGTAATGGCCGCCGTGCAGAGAGGATGTGGTGCCCGCGGCTGCTGGCCTGCCTCGTGACTAAACCTGCTGGCAAATCTCTTTTCTGTTCAGCTCGCACGTGGACTGAAGCTGACCTTCGACTCCTCCTTCTCACCTAACACTGGGTAAGAGCCTCATGTGTCCTCCCACGAGGACGTCCGTGGTGGTGAGGTGGTGGAAGCGCCTCGCAGGGAGCCAGCAGCGGGGGATTTCGGGGTGGGGAATGGCGTCGCCGAGAGGCAGCTCCGAGACCTGCGGATTTAAGTTCTCTGGTTTTCAGTCAGTCCCGGGGACACACGACGTCGGGCTAGCGACTGGCTAGCGGAGCCAGCGGCGCTGCCTGAGATAGTCACTTACATATATATAGTCCAATATATTTGTACGAACCTTATATCATAGCGCACACACTGTACTCTTATATATCACAGGTGATAGAGTCTGACAAGTTCCTATGTTGCTTCGATATATGTCATGCTCCCTATATGTGCGACGGTGGGTCTCCTGTCCTGGTCCTTCCTCCCGTCCGCTCCCTCGCCCTCCTCGCCTCCCTTCTCCTCCTCCCTGCCTCCGTTCCTCCCTGTCCTCCCTTACCCTCCACATAAAAATCACCATATGACATGCCTTCCTGGCCGTTCGCCTGCTCGCTCCCCCAGTCCCCATCGCCCTCCTCCCAGCTGGTGTGCGAGCGTCGTGAGCCCTCACTGCGCACGCCGTCACCAACGTCCTAAGCGCGCAGGTGCAGCCCTCTTAGCTCAGGCCTGCGTTGAGTAGGTCTGGCGGACTACGAGCGTGTGGCGGGGGCCACAGCCCAGAGACGCCGCCCAGCTACCATGTTCTTTTTACTTGCTGCCGGCAGACCTGGGTCGGTTGGCTAGCGGTTGCCCAGCCTTCGCCCGCTCGGAACTCCTGGCCGTTCGATGGAGTCCTCCCACCTTGCCTCTCAAACAGGGCTAGGGATATACCAGGGTGTGGGAGCCCTTGCGTTCGCTTGGCAGAGCTTCCCTTATTAATTCTGTTTGTTTTGCGAGCTACGTCATATGCCGGTGTTGGGCCTGGCTGGAGTGCCGATCGGCATCGAGCCTACCCGACAGCAACCGTCACGCCTGACTCCTGGGCTGGCAAGCGAGTGCCTGCCCTCCGCCTCTCAGCCGTCGGGCCGAACATAGATGGGACTACAGATGTATGCCACCACCCCCGGCTAATTTTTCTGTTTTTAGTAGAGATAGGGTCTCACTCTTGCTCAGGCTGGTCTTGAACGCCTAACTTCAAGTGATCCTCCCGCCTCGGCCTCCCAGAGTGTTAGCATTAGAGGCGTGAGCCACCTTGCCCAGCCTGGAGCTTCTTTCCTAATGGAGGATTTGGACCAGTGTTCAGTAGGGTTTCATAATTAGATTCTGAACTGTTATTATTCTCCTGCCCTCAGCCATGGGGGCTGCAGGGTTTCTGGACAGTAATGCTCCGTTGCACGTGAGTTAGGCTGCTGATAATGTAAGTAGTCAAGGCTGAACGGTACTGGGTGACATTTGGAAGCAGGGCTCACTGGTCATTCTTTCCAGCCTCATTTCTTCAGGTGTGGAGGACCCTCCTCCCAGCTTCCTGCTTAGGGACACTGGGACTGTGGGTTGAACTTCCAGGTGGCTCCTGAGTCTATATTTTTGCCCCAGGCCTCTGGCCACAAGTAGGTTAGGCTTGTTGGTTATCGACACAACAAAAGACAAGATGGTATGTTGGTGTGCTGCAGCTCCTGGGTACTTTTCAAAGTGGCTGGAAGGAGTCATTCTCTTCTAGAAAAACATTCTTGTTTTTTTCTACTCTGAGTGGTGGGTCTCCTAAACCTGGGGAGGATTGTTCTGTACACTGATGATGGGATCAAGGGCATGTATTGGATTTTAGTTTTTAAGAATTACCATTTGATCCAGCAATCCCACTACTGGGTATTTACCCAGAGGAAAAAAAGGCATATGAAAAAAACACATGCACACACGAATATTTATAGCAGCACAATTCACAGTTGCAGAGATGTGGAAACAACCCAAGTGACCATCGATACGTGAGCGGATTAATGAAATGTGATATGTGTATACCATGGAGTACTACTCAGCCACAAGAAACAATGGTGAGCTACTATTGTATTATCCTGGATGGAGCTGGAGCCCATTCTTCTAAGCGAAGTATCACAAGAATGGAAAAACAAATACCACACGTACTCACCATTAAATTGGTACTAATTGATCGAAACTCGTGTGCACATACAGAAGTAACATTCACTGGGTGTTGTGTGGGTGAGAGGGGATGAGGAGATGAGCAAACTCAAACCTAACAGGTGCAGTACGCACTGTCTGGGGGGTGGGCACTCTTGTGGCTCTGACTTGGGTGGTACAAAGGGAATTTATGCAGCCAAAGCATTTATATCTCTGTAATATTCTGAAATAAAAAAATTAATGGTAAAGTATGCATATAAAATTTACCATTTTAGGTGTACAGCTCAGTGGCATAATGAATTTCATCTTTTGCCATTCCATATTATTTTCCTCTCTCCCCCCTTTCCTTTTTTCTATTCCAACAAATATTTATTAGAGGGAGGATCTACTAAGCCAGACCCTGTGCTAGCTGTGGGTGCCCACGAGTCTCTGGGCGGACAAGGCTTTTGCCCTCTGAGATAGGTCTTTTTGTGACCTGAAGATGGTGTGTCAGGAGGTGATTTCCTCTTGTTCTCCTCTCTGTTATGGTTTTATGGTTTTTCATGCCAAGAGCCTTGCCTTCCTACCGTGTTTCCCCGAAAATAAGGCAGGGTCTTATATTTATTTTTCCTCAAGAAGCCACCCTAAGGCTTATTTTCAGGGGATGTGTCATTTTCCCCTCAAAGCTTCAGCTTGCAGCAGGCACGGGATGGCCGGGACCTGACAGGGGAGCCGACCTTGTTGGTGGGGCTGCCCGCACCTTTCCGGTCACCTCTGGGACAGTAGCTGTCACGATGGGGCAGATGAGAAGGGCTGCTTGTTGTCTTTCCTGCTCCACAACGAAATGTACAGGTTGTGCAGATGCGCTGTGTAGCCACGCCTGGCACTAGGGCTGATTTTCGGGGTGGGGCTTCTGTTGCGCACATGCTTAGAAATCCTGCTAGGGCTTATTTTATGGGTAGGGCTTATTTTTGGGGAAACACGGTACTTGTTTACTTCCCCCCAGGGTATCCCGCCATGCTATCAGGGAGAAGTTATCCCGAGAGACCCTCTAATAGGATGAGGGGCTGGGGGATGTGGCCACATACTTGGATTTGCTGCCCTGAGATGGCATACTTAGGGTTTTGTAAGGGAGTTCCCATTATCTTTGGGAGGTTTGTGGAGCTCTCCAGGTTCTATAGTAATATGCATAGGGAAGTTTTAAAAAAATGAACATTTTATTTTATTTTATTTTATTTATTTTTTTGAGACAGAGTCTCGCTTTGTTGCCCCGGCTAGAGTGAGTGCCGTGGCGTCAGCCTAGCTCACAGCAACCTCAGTCTCCTGGGCTCAAGCGATCCTCCTGCCTCAGCCTCCCGAGTAGCTGGGACTACAAGCATGCACCACCATGCCCGGCTAACTTTTTCTATATGTATTTGTTGACCAATTAATATCTTTCTATTTATAGTAGAGACGGGGTCTCACTCTTGCTCAGGCTGGTTTTGAACTCCTGACCTTGAGTAATCTGCCTGCTTTGGCCTCCCAGAGTGCTAGGATTACAGGCATGAGCCACCACGCCCGGCCTGAACTTTTTATTTTAAAATAATTTTATATGAATGAAAATGTGGTAAAAATAGTATATAGAGTTCTCTTATGTCCTTCATCCGACTTCCTCTAATGCTAACATCGCACACAACTGTAACATAATCACCAGAACTAGCAAATCAATGTTGATGTCACGCAGTTAGCCAATTCACTGTCCCACTGATGTCTTTCTGGCCAGTGATCCGGTTCAGGACCCTACAGTGCATTTAGTTTCAAATTTCCTTTTTCTCCTCTAATCTGGGACATATTCACAATCTTTGTCTTTCATGACCTTGACACTTTGAATGAAGAGTGGCCAATTATTTTGTGGAGTGTCCTCCAGTTTGGATGTGTCTGAGGTTCTTCCTTGTGATTAAGTTCGGGTTGTGCATTCTAGGCAGCCGTAGACGTGAGCCTGCGTTGTGTGCGTGATATCAGGGAGAGTGTCAGTATGCTTCATTTCTGGTGATGTTAACTTCGATCACTGGGTTAAAGTGGTGGTCTGCCAAGTCTCTTTACTATAAAGCTGCTATTTTTCTCTTTGTAATTATTAATAATAAGTGTCTTGTGGGGAGACACTTTGAGACTGTGCAAATATTCAAGTTCTCGTTATACTTTTGCTCACAAATAGTAGCATCCATGGGCGATTCTTGCCTGTCACAGTATGCTTGGCAAACGATTTTCCGTTTCCATCACTCCTTTACTTTTTAATTGGGATTCTGCTGTAAGGAAGAGCCATCCCCAAATAAAGTGATTTATTTAATCATTTATGTATAATATATTAGTATGGGTTCATGGAAGCCCCACCTTGAAAATAAGCCCTAGTGACGGGCGTGGCTGCGCAGCGCATCTGCACAACCCATGCATTTCGTTGTGGAAATAGAGTCGCAAGACATTCAGGATGGAATTTGGGGTTTGGAGAGTGATGATGATGTTCCAGAAGAAGATGACTTCACTATATTGGAATAAATGTAGATGGTTGTACCGTCCTTAAAAAAAATAACACATCCCCTGAAAATAAGCCCTAGGGTGTCTTCTTGAGAAAAAATAAATATCAGACCCTGTCTTGTTTTCGGGCAAACACGGTAGTGTGTGAGCCATAAAATAAGAAGTTGATCATCTCCTCCAAAGCTGCTGTTTAGGCAGCTGCCTTCCTGACAGATAGAACTTCCCCCAGGTTTGGAAATAGCGGAGATGCATCCGTTTTGTAATTGCACGGTGGCTCTGGACCTCGCAGATGCCTGTGTAGGCTGCCGAGTTGAACGTACGGGTAGTGAACGAAGTCACTCGGCACTTATTGTTCAGGCTTCTCCTGTCTGTGTCCTCCCTGTATCACGGTGGCGTGTCGTGGTGGCAGACAGGGTCCCCATGGAAGAGAGCTTGCGCCCTGCTCGCTGCGGCTCAGCCGCTGCTCACGGGAGGACTGGATCCCTGACTTCATCCCCCCCACCCCCGGGCCTCTGTTTAAACTGGGATTTTGCAAAACAGCATGCATTTCCGGGTGAGTTGGTTTCTGGTCGTAATATAATTTCTTTCCCTTTAGGAAGAAAAATGCTAAAATCAAGACGGGGTACAAGCGGGAGCACATCAACCTGGGCTGCGACGTGGACTTCGACATCGCGGGGCCCTCGATCCGGGGCGCGCTGGTGCTGGGTTACGAGGGCTGGCTGGCCGGCTACCAGATGAATTTCGAGACCGCCAAGTCCCGGGTGACCCAGAGCAACTTCGCGGTCGGCTACAAGACGGATGAGTTCCAGCTTCACACGAACGTGTGAGTGTGCGGGCGGGGGGTCAGGTGCGTGTGGCGGAGGGGTTGCTTTTCATTGTTTCTCTCTAAGTCCGGTTGTTAACCACCACTGTGAAGTAAGTTAGTTGGCATGGGATGAGCCAGATGGCCTGCTACATCTTTCTGTTTCCCGCCTACCCGTTTCCCGAAGTGCCTTAGGTTCTCTCTATTCTGCGGACAGTAAATACTGCTGCTGGTCTGCAGGTTAATGACAGCAGGGCATGATGTCATTGCAGAGGGCTGTCCCTTCCCTACAGTTTTTGTTTTCGTTAACAAAATGCGGGTAAGAAAAGGGGCTTCTCTCTCTCTCTCTGTGGCCTGCGAGGATCAGCTTGCTATGTGTGCTTAACTCGGCAGACACCTCAGGAGCTGATTATCTCAGTTCAAGACAAAGTATCTTCCCTGGCGGGGCGTCTGAAACTTTGTTAGCTGTCGGACAGTACGGTGAAGGGAGATGACAGGTTAAGAGGGAGCCCCCATAATCAAACTTGAGAATTGAAGCAGAGTGTTGGTTCAAGTTAAGGGAAACAAGTATTTCGTCCGTAAAGATCTTGTTTCAGTTTCATGAGGAATTAACCTGTGGTACAAGTGGGGTACGAAACTTTACCAACTTTCTTTCCACTAGAGGTCACTAAAAAAGTGACTTCTTAAATTTAAGGAAATAAAATAGTGTTTCACAGTTTAGTTTACTAGTAAAAATGGTAAGCTAATACTATTTTTATTAATAAAAAGTTTTTGAGGAATTTTAACCATTAATTAAAAATTTGGAGTCTTTTCCAACTCAGCGGTCCCAGGAAAATGACAGAGATGGCCGGTGCAGTGGTTGCCAGGGGTGTGGGAAGGGTGTGCTGGCAACGGGGTCTGGGGGCGTCTCGAGGACGGAACTGATCTGTACCCCGATTGTGGTGCTGGTACACGACTCTGTACATGTGTTGAAACCTATAGAAATGTGCACCAACAAAAGGTCCATTTTACTGTACGTTAATTTAAAAAAGGGAACAGGCCGGGCGCGGTGGCTCACGCCTGTAATCCTAGCACTCTGGGAGGCCGAGGCGGGTGGATTGCTTGAGGTCAGGAGTTCAAAACCAGCCTGAGCAAGAGCGAGACCCAGTGTCTACCATAAATAGAAAGAAGTTGGCCAACTGACATATATAGAAAAAATGAGCCGGGCATGGTGGCGCATGCCTGTAGTCCCAGCTACTCAGGAGGCTGAGGCAGTAGGATTGCTTGAGCCCAGGAGATTGAGGTTGCTGTGAGCTAGGCTGACGCCACAGCACTCACTCTAGCCTGGGCAACAAAGTGAGACTCTGTCTCAAAGAAAAAAAAAATAAAAAAGGGAACATACAAAAAAGTTACAGGAACACTATCACAAGCATAGAAGTGTTTTTAAACTTAGAATTCTTATTGGAGTGGGAAGTGTTTCCTTGGTTGGGAATTGGACTTGGCACCGGTTTTAGGGACAACAGTGGCTGTTAGCCATGTCCCTCCCATACCTGAGCGCCAGTGTTTTTAATAAGTCATGAGGGGACGTGGCTTATTTTTGGAACCTGCTTGGAGGCGTCTGACACAACTCCTCTGGGCTGCCCTGGTGCTGAGGGACAGATGTCCTTTGTGCTTCCTGTCGATGGGTCTGAACAATCAACTCCCTCTGTTCATGGTTTTGAAAGCTCAGTACAGGAAGGCAGTATTGCATTCCTGGTTTTAGAATTTTCTGAAAAAAATCTGACCTTTAAAAAGAATAACCACATTTAAGCCCAAGAAAGTTTCCCCATGTGAATATATTACTAACGTCACTCAAAAATCTGTTGTCTTTGATAGGCTGCTGGGCTGCCTGCAGAAGACAGGGTTCCCTGTGAGTCAGGCAGTGTCGGGGCTCGGCCTGTGCTTTCTGAGCACAGTGTCTGTCCGTCTGAATTTCAGGGGAAATCTTAAGAATTTAGAAGGTATCTCATGAGCATCTACTTTAGGGAGAGCCTTCTGTGAGGAGCAGAGCTTGCAATGAAACAGCAGTAATTTGTCCTTAGGTCCTCAAGCCCTTTGCTGGATTCCAGAGCACACGGGCTCCGACTTAGTGACCAGTGCTGTCTCCACTGGCAATGCCCAAAATAACGAGGCAGAACTTTGGCATTGGTTTTATGTTGAAGATGTTTTGAGAGGGTCTAGGCAAGCTTGAAGACCAGCTGATGCCAGGAGGATGATCATTCCTTTTTTAAAAATTGCAGCATTAAAATTTTTCTTCAATTTTTAATCAGAGGAATCTAAGCCCATGGTTATGAAATCAAACAGTACAAAAAAGGGCGTATGAAAAGCAGTGGTTCCACCCTGCCTCTGCCTGCTCATCGCAGCTTCCCGCGGCCACTTTAGCCATGTTTGTTTTCCGTGGTTCCGTCCGTGGAGAGGGATGCTCTGGCCAGGCACTGGCATGTACTGTGCATATAAACAACCACAAAGCAGCAGTGGTAGACACCGTATGATCTGTGCCCACCCCGGCTGCCCGCGAGGGACCAAGTGTGGACTCTCAGAGCTCTTCACATACATTTTTTGGTCGTGGTGGGGGGGTGCCAGTGACCGGACAGTGTACACAGGCTGTTCTGCGAGTTAACTGCTGGGTGGGACAGACGTCCACATTCCGAGAGCTTGAGTGGGGGCCTGAGAGAGTAAGAGGAGGATTTGAGTGGCCGGGAGGGGGCAGGGGTCTTCCCAGCGGCTGGAGGCAATTCAGTGTATCTGGAAGAGAGGAGGGGGGGTTTGGCTAGCAGGGGGAGTTCATTCTGAATATTTTGGGAAGACAGAAACATTTTGTAACATAGCAAGAAGCTCCCTTTGCAATTCCACCAGGACCTTAGGTGTGGCAGCCTGGGTCAGCAGGTGGGACGGGCCTGCCCTGCAGGTGAAGCTCTTTTGTCACTGCTTTTCCTCCAGGGGCTGGGGCGGGCTTAGCTGCCTCTCCCAGCAGAGGCCGCTCCGCGCATGCTGAGGCCTCCAGCCTGCCTTCCCGGGAGCACGTGCGGCCCAGCCTTTCTCGCAGCTTCTGGCTGTGTTCTCTTCTCATTTGCTTTTCCTCCCACACTGTTTTTAATGATAGAGTCGTTTATAAAAGTAGTAACATCAGCCTTAGAAAAAAAGAGACCACTCAGAATCCCAATGTCCTAGTTGCTGCTTCTATTTTAAAGAATAGGTGGAAACAAACTTTTCAGTTCCGTGCAGCTCGAGTAGCTGGCTGTGCTGCGTCTGGTGTTCCCAAGGCTGGCTGAAATGGCTTTTCTCTCCTTCTGGACCTTTCTGATGTCTCTGGCGTCTCTTCCATTCTTACCTGGTTTCCTGTACTTTAGTACCTGTTTTGTGAAATTTGGCAGACTCAGCGGCCTTCTCAATACCCGTGGTTAGATCCCTGTCCTCCGGTAGACCGGGGCAGCTCTGTCTGGGCTCCAGCCCACCTCCCTGGGCAGCCTGGCATCGTGCCGTGCCTGTTTGCAGGAATGACGGGACAGAGTTCGGCGGCTCCATTTACCAGAAGGTGAACAAGAAGTTGGAGACCGCCGTCAACCTCGCCTGGACAGCAGGAAACAGTAACACGCGCTTCGGGATAGCAGCCAAGTACCAGATCGACCCCGACGCCTGCTTCTCGGTGGGTATCTGTGGAATCGCGCGTCTCCGGACCTGCTTGCTTCTTAGGCGGGAGTCCTGCAGGACTGCTGGAGTACCCTGACTTTGAAGAGTTCCAAATCAGTGCAGTGATAATAGTGATAGTACTTAGTATATGTGCCAGGCACCGCGTAGAGCCTTTCATGTGTGTATTATTATGTTTAATCCCTTTGACATAGGTGTGCTCCTCTCCTCTCCTCTCCTCTCCTCTCCTCTCCTCTCCTCTCCTCTCCTTCCTTCCTCTGCTCCTCTCCTTCCTCTCCTCTCTCTCCTCTCCTCCTCTCCTCCCCTCTCCTCCTCCTCCCCTCCCCTCCCCTCCTCCCTCCTCCTCTTCTTTTCTTATTTTTTTAAATCATGCCTGTTTACAAATGAGGAGCAGGAAGCTTAGAGAGGTAGAATAACTTGCCCAAAGGCACGCAGCAGGTAAGTGCTGGGGCCTGGATTTGACCCAGCCTGGCTTACGCTTGAGCCAGGCTTGAGCCTCAAACTTTTTAAACAGGGGGCCAGTTCACTGTCTCTCAGACCATTGGAGGACCGTTGGAGAGTGCGGCGCACATTCCACACATGCGCACTGTGGGCCCGGGATGAGTCGGCTGCTAAGCAGGACAGGCAGCAGCGGCAAAAACACCCGACGGGCCAGATAAATGTCCTCGGCGGGCCGCAGGTGGCCCGTGGGCAGCAGTTTGAGGACGCCTGCTCTTGAGCCTCTTCCTTTAACCAGGCCCTGTCTCACAAGGCAGACTATAAAAAGGGGAACTCTGAAACGCAGGGTTCTAAATGTTCATTTCCCCCCTCATTTTTCATTCTTTCTTAGCTGCTGCATTACATATTAAGACACCAGTGGTCAGCTGCAGCCTTGCCCGTGGGCCCTTGGATTGCTTCACAGTTTTTGCAGTAAATCCAGTTGGGCGCATTTCTGTTGTCACAGGGCAGGGTAGGCTGTGTAGTGGAATGAGGAACTCTCACGTTGTAGAACCGTTTCTGTACTGGTTTGTGTAATTTATGAAAAGTCTATTTAAGTCTCCTGAACTGGGAACTGAATTTGGCTCCCTTAACGTTAGGCCCTTAAAAACCAGGGAAAGGGGACCTCACTATTTAGATGGTATGAACCAAAAGGGACAGCTAGAAGGGACACCGGACACCCAGAGGCCTTCCTTCTCCTTGCTTTGCTTTTCCAAGGGACGTCAGGTCCCAGAATGGCATTTGGGTAGAAAAACATGCACCTAAATTTGATATATTTCATAGTGAATTTAATGAATCCCATAAACAAGGTGGTCATGAAAAAGGATAGTTTGATTCTAAAGTGCAGAGTTGGTTGATTAAAAAGCTTTTACTCGTTTTGGAGATTAAAGCGTGAAGTACTTAACATTTTCACTCTGTCTTGTCTTTTCCCTGACTAGGCTAAAGTGAACAACTCCAGCCTGATAGGTTTAGGATACACTCAGACCCTAAAGCCAGGTATGTGTTCGTTGTGTGTGACATCAGTTCTTTGTCTTAAAAAGAATTGTGGTGCTGATTCACGTCATTGCTTATGAAATGCTTATATATAGTACATTGTAAATGTGTGTATGTAAAGTTTATAATTAATTGGGTACAGAGTCATTATAAAACATTTAGAGAATATCAAAAGTAGTAGGAGAACAAAAGGCCAAGGCTAACAGATTATAGGCCACTCCTGGGAAAATCAGCTTGTTGTGTGCGTACGTGGGTATGGGTGCACGCTACACACGTGTGTGCATGCTACACGCGTATGTGCACGCTACACGCGTGTGTGCACGCTGTGAATGTGAGTGTCAGGCCTCAGGTCTGATTCAAGGTTGGAGTTCATTTCAAGGGAGGATTGTGAAGAAGCTCACTGCATGGTTACCAGTGGTAGAGACACTAATTGTAGCAGGAGGACAATGAGAGGGAAGAGTGGATTTGGACAGGCTCTCTGGTCAGTGGGATAATTACAGTTGTTTTATAGGCTCACTCTAGGATCCTGTTGGGCAGATGGTGTTAAGTAACAAGGATTGAAGGGCCGTGGACTTTGGCCCTGCTGATAACACCTGGAGTAGGTTCTGAATTTGGTGTTAACCTTTCTTCTCTTTTCTTTCCTCCATTCCTTTTTCCCTGTCCTTGGTTTTCCCCCGTGCAGGTATCAAACTGACGCTGTCAGCTCTGCTGGATGGGAAGAACGTCAATGCCGGTGGCCACAAGCTTGGTCTAGGACTGGAATTTCAAGCATAAATGAATACTGTATAATTGTTTAATTTTAAACTATTTTGCAGCATAGCTACCTTCAGAATTTAGTGTATCTTTTAATGTTGTATGTCTGGGATGCAAGTATTGCTAAATATCATGTTAGACCTCCAGGTTAAAAGAGGATTCAGCTTTAAGGTGTTACCCTTTCAGAGGTACAAAAGAAACCCGATTCCAAAAAAGGTCTTTTCAGCTGTAGACTTGGGGGGAACTTGGCGGCTCCTCTAGAGATGCCAGGTTTCTTTTTTATCTAGAAATGGCTGCAAGTGGAAGCTAATAATGTGTAGGCACTTTGTAAATTCATATTGAGTAAATGAATGAAATCATGACTTCCTGAGAATTGAACCTTGGTTTCCTAATAACCCTAATTGATGAGAGTCTGATTGCTTGATGGTGTGTACAAACTCACCTAAAAGGGACTTTTTTAGACAGATCTTCATGACCTGTTCCCACCCCAGTCCTTTATCACCTCTTTTACACCAAAAGGTTTGCAGGGTGTGGTAGCTGTTTCTTTGTGCCATTTTGGGGTGGAGAGGGTGGATGTGGTGAAGCCAATAATTCAGGACTTAATTCCTTCTTGTGTTGTGGTTTTTTGCCCTTGCACCAGAGTATGAAATAGCTTCTAGGCGCTCCAGCTATAAGCTGGGAAGTCTGTGTGATTGTAATCACATGGTGACAACACTCAGAATCTAAATTGGACTTCTGTTGTATTCTCACCAATTTATTTTTTAGCAGTTTAAGGGGTACATTTTAGAGTCTTCCATTTTGTGTGGAATTAGATCCTCTCCTTCAAATGCTGTAATTAACATCACTTAAAATAAAACTTGAATAAAATATCGAAACCTCCTCTTCCTCCTGTTGTCTTTATTAATAATAATGTAAATAAACAGGGTACTTGTTTAGATTTGTTCTTTGTATAACTGATTACCCCAAAACTGTAGTCCTCAGTATTTATCATACTGTCTTCATCAGGTTTATAAGGACTTGCAGTTATTTCTAAGTGAACATTTAAAATTTGTCCACAGATTATGGTTTGTAGTGGTTGCATATGCCAAGTACAGTATTGAAATATTTTTAAGTGTATAAAGGGCGCTTCGAGCATAAGGGAATAATTCCCTCACCGGTTACTTAATGTCTGCCTGTTGTATGCAGCATATTGGGACATCATTGTGCAAATGCCGTGAGTTCACAGTATCTCACCAGTTAGGAGAACTGAGACAATCTGGTGTGAGGACAAAGTGGACAAAGAATCAGAGAAGAGGACTGCAGTGTGTTTATCCTACATAAGCTGTTTAAAGTCTGAAGCAATCTCCAAACAAGCAGAAACTAGGATCAAGAGGCTTGTTCATTAAACTGAGTGGTATTTTCTGTACTCCCAGAAGTGAAAGCTCCTGGGGCAGGTGGGGAGGACTTTGCACCTTGGCTGACCTGGGAGGTTTGTAGCAAGGACGGTCTATATGGGCTTGTGGTGGATTCCAGGAAATGAGCGGATGAATGACTTCTCAGTTCTCTTAACACAGAGTTCCTGTGTCTGCGAGCTATCACCAGGGTCAGTGGGGAAACCAGATTCAGGAGTAGAACACAGGCCCTTCTCTAGTCTTCAGAGCGGCAGCTTAGTCGAGTCTCAGGGGATAGCAGCAGTCTTCTACGAGGGAATTACAGATGCCAGAGTGGTGACGCTGTGGGCACTATAAATGTCTTGCTTGATGCCACACTTATTTTCCTGAAAATTGATCAAATGGAACTTTTATGACTTGAAGCCTATAGCTGTTTATGGAGGAAACATTCCCAGAACTGACATACAGATCAAAGCGTTGTGCCAGGGCCCTAAGTGAAATTCCTGGAAGTTTCTAAATTTGCATTTTCATATGGGGGAGGGGGTTAAGTTACAAAATTTAAAAAGTAATAGCTTATTTTAGGAAGCCTGGAAGCTATTTCCAGTGGCAACCCCTCACCTGTACTTCATAGCCACCTTCCCTCCTTCTCCTCCGTAATGCACACCATCTTATATTATATAAACTGCGTATTTTACACCATAGTCTCCCTCACAGCAAAATAAACTCCACCAAGGCAGAGGGGTTCCTTTTTTTCACTGCTGTATCCTTAAACATGGAGAGGTGCTAAATATTTGCTGAAATAATAAATAATTGTAAGGAAAGATGATAAAAATTACTTGTAATTGCACCACCTAGATATGTTAGTTAACACGTTTCTTTTGCCTCTGAGAGGGGAAGGGCAGTGACTTGGCTTTAGACATCAGTCTGTGTAAAGACACCGTTGGATCTTCCTTTTAAAATTGTTTCAAAACGCTTTTATTGGCTGTATAGTGTCCCACCACGCGGGAGACGGGAAAGGCTGGCTCGCGCGCTCTCCAGCACCCTGCACGCCACACCCTTGCCCAGGCGGAGGGCACAGCGCGCTCCCCTCTCTTCTTCCTGCGACTCCCACATCCTTCCTCCTCAGTCCTCTTCCCAGAGCCGCGCGCCAGCCCCGACGTCATCACGCCGGGACGCAGGCGCCCAGGGCCGCGGCGCCCGACGCGGCGTCTGACGTCATGACGCAGAGCCTAGCAACAGCGCAGGCTCCCGGCAGAGTCCGTTATGGCCGCTGCCGCCCTGGGGAGGATGAGGGGGGCTGCGCAGGCGAAGCTGCTGCCCGAACCGGGCATTCAGGCCTCCGCGGGGCTGGCGCGGCCGCTGGTCCTGGCGCTCCTGCTGGCGTCCGCCACCGTCTCCAGCGGTAAAGGCGGCGCCGCGGCAGGGCGGGCGGGCGCGCGGGCAGGCGGGGCGGGCCCGGGCGCAGGCCAGGAAAAGGGGCTGGCGGTGTCCAGCCGGGGCAGGGGCTCTGCGGGCCCGAGGAGGGAGAGTGTGGTGTCCGACGGGGTCCAAGGTGGCAGGGTCTCCAGGGGGCCTGAGAAAAGTGGGGCTGGGAGAGACGGGGACCAGGATATGTCGGTGGGCGGGGAGGGAGGAGTGGTGTCTAGGCAGCCGCAAGGCATGGCGCTGGTGGGGATCTCCAGAATTTCCTGGAGTGGGAGGTTAGGGGGCTCTAGAAGCAAGGGCGGAGGAGACGGGGCCGAGGAGATGGCCAGGATAGGGGGTGTGGTGTCTGGAGAGGACCCTGAGATGGGGGACTCAGGGGTCTAGCAGGGCCAAGGAAGGATGGGGGTTTTCCAGAACCAGTGAGGTAGAGACCGTGGTGGGCAGGGGTGGGGACACAGTGACTGGACTGAGTAAGACTGAATATTTCCGAAAGGGAAAGTGAAGGGAAAGGATCTGCCTTCGGGTCCTGGTGCATCTCTGAGGTCTGGTGGGTGCTGGTGCTTGGTGAAGAGTCGGGGCCGGCCGGGTGCAGTCTCTCACCTGTAATCCCAGCGGGAGGATTGCTTGAGCATAGGGCTTCCAGGTTGACTGTGAGCGATCATCGTGCCACTGCATTTCAGCCTGGGTGACAGCGAGACCCCTTCTCTTTGAAAAAAAAAAACAAAACAAAAAATAAAACACCACTGGGGTGTTGGTTCCCTGAGGGGGTGGGGAGAGGGAGAGGAGTTTGGGAACAAAGGAGATTCTTTGTAAACACGTCCCTGTGTCGTAGGGTAACTTGGACAGCCCTGCCTCATTTTAATGGATCTGTAGGATTTGATTAAGAAAGGATTTCTTTCTTGCCAATGTTACATTGTGAAATCAGGATATTGAAGGCTTTATTGAGAAATGAAATCTGCAAACCAGGGCCTGATACTTAGTGGGGGGAAATCCACTCCTAAGAACTTACAATGATTAAGCAGGATCTTGTTTAGTATTCCCATTATAATTTCAGGCCAACACACAATCCTACGTTTTTCCCTAAATTTTTTTTTGAGTTTTCAGATGCAGTACAGTGTGAGCTAGGATAGTGTTTTCGTACTTGCCAACAGGGCCTGCCTAGCCCTACGTTCCTGTACTGCAGTTCTGTGGGTACATGCTTGTTTCCCAGCAGCACTTCACTGTTGTTGACCGGATTGTCCTCCTACATGTGTTTGCAAGTCTGTGGGGAAAAACTTAAGTCTATTTTCTCATGGCCCTTTCATCATTAGTAAAATATAATGAGGATTTCCCTGGTTCATGAAGATATTCCTGTTCTTAAAGTATTGGGTCATTACATATACTCACCAGCAAACTGGTATTAACTGAGCAGCACCTAAGTGGACACATAGGTACTACAGTAATAGGGTATTGGGCACGTGGGAGGGGGGAGGGGGGCGGGTATATACATACATAATGAGTGAGATGTGCACCATCTGGGGGATGGTCATGCTGGAAACTCAAACTTGTGGGGGAAGGGGGAATGGGCATTTATTGAAAACTTAAAATCTGTACCCCCATAATATACCGGAAAAAAAGTATTGGGTCATTAAATATGAAATGTCCAATTTCGAATCAAAAGTGTAGTTTATTATATCTCAAACAATAAACAGTACAATTAATCAAAGTATGCGCCTAAATTATCAAGTTTTGCGATCTTGAGGGTAGCTAGTTTATGCCAGCAGCAAAGAAGCCTGGAGAGCGTGAGTAGCAGTGAAATTGAGAAAGGTGTTTTCCACAGCTTATTCAGAATTGAATATTTTTCCTTGTAAGAAGTGGTCCAAAGCCTGGAAATAAGTACTTAGTTGGTTCATGGTCTCGTGAATATGGTGGATGACAGTTTCCAAGTCCAGGCTCTGTAGTTTGAGCAGCGTTATTTGTGGGACACATGCTTGAGCATTGTCTTGCAAGACGATTGGCCTGTCTCTGTTGACCAGTATCAGCTGCTTAATCACAAGCATCCTCATCATTTCGTTCAATTGGTTGCAGTAGACATCCGCTGTAATTGGTTGACCAGGTTTCCTGAAGCTGTAGTAGTTAATACCAGCGCTGCACCACCAAACAGACACTATTAGCTTTTCTTGATGAATATTTGGTTTTGGACTGTGTTTTGGCACTTCATCTTTATCCGACCATTGTGCCAACTGCTTGCAATTATCAAAAAGAATCCATTTTTCATCCCATGTAACAATACGCTATAGAAATGGTTTGTCTTTATGGCACGACAGCAAAGAAAGGCAAGCTTCAAGACAATTTCTCTTCTGATGCTCATTTAATTCACTTGGAACCCATCTACAAGCTTCCTAACCTTGCCCATTTGTTTCAAATGGTACAATATTGTTGGAATAGTAACATCAAACCTTGCTGGTAATTCATGTGTAGATTAAGATGGATTTGCTTCCACTACAACTTTCAGCTAGCTCATCATTACCCACTTTGGTCTCAGGTCACCCATGTGGCTCATTTTTAGATTAAAATCAATAAAATGGAACTTCTCAAACCATCGACGTACTATGTGTTCATTAGCCACATCCTTCCCAAACACTTTGTTGATATTTTGAGGTGTCTGTGCTGCATTGGTTCCATGATGGAGCTCATATTTGAAAATGACATGAATTTGTGACTTACCTATGGTTTTCCAAAAATTGCTCTAAAAAAATTTTGACAGATAATCATAAGCCAAACTGTATATTTGAAAGACTGAGGATGTAGCTTCACAATAAAAATAAAACAAGAAGTGTCAAAGTGAAATGTCAGAGATTATCAGCTGTCAAACTTAGTACTTAAGGAAATTGGACAGTTCATACTTAATAACCTATACTTAAGTAGCATAATTGTTTTGATCACTTAATCAATGAAAAAAAATAACCTTTAAACATTTATGGTTTTTGCTAGAATGCTTAAGAGACATGGTTTGGGGGTATATATCTGGTAGCTGTAGTTTCAGAAACAACTTTTCCCCCTAAGATAAGGTTGAAAATCTTGTGATGGGTGTAGTGTAAGGTGAGCGAG